CAGGAAGGAAAAATAAACCTGCTGCAGGAAAGGGCCTATTGTGTAACCCCGTTTTTTGTGGTCTATTTAAAGGAATAGAGTAGGGGCAATAAGCAGGCTTTGAACCTGCACATGCTCTGGAAATGCCTCAACTGAGCCTCACAAAGTTAGAAGGTTCATTTAAATTGCCATCTCGTACTTGTTTTTGGGATAGTTATTTACTGTTTCATACGACAGGCTTCTCAAACTCCCTGGAGATCAGGTGCTGGGAAGTGTGTTCATGGTTTGCTCTGGTCATTTTCTAGATGGGGTCTTTTATGGGCTGATGTATCCTTTTTCTAATGATGGTGAAATTATTAGCAGAAGGGGGTTTTTTGCAGTACTTCCTTTCCTGTTGGGAATGTAGAAACACACAGGCAGATTGTGCAAATATGGAAACACCATTTTTTGTCAGTCTGAACCTGCTGGTTCAGTTGTTCTAATGTTTTCTAGTCTAGAGGGTGAGAAGGATCAGGTGAAATAGTTTTTTTTTTTTCTCTGCTTTGGCATTAGCTCTTTGTTGCATAATTTCCCCTCTCTCTGCTGCCTTTAACTGTCAGGTGAAATGGGGGGAAGGTGAACCATGATATGACACCAGAATATTTTTTAAATCTTCTGGGCAGCCTCTGTAGGAGTTGTCCTGGCAGGTCTGTTCCCTTCTCAGATCTCCTAACCAAAATACAAGTTGTGGGTGGATAGCATGGCGTGGGAAGTGGCAGACAGAAATAGCTCTCAGTGTTAGTAAGTGCATAGGCATTGTGGTAGGCAGTAAGGGGAGTCAGAAGGGTGCCCTTAGAACGGGTCCGGTATTTCTGCAGGAAGGGCCTTAGATGTACCTAGAGAGCAGATGGGCTCACTGGGGCATGCAGCAGCGGTAGTGCCAATCTTAAAGCACGCTATATAGAGTTTTATCGTGCTGTCTGAATCAAATGCCCAGCTAATATTCATATTCTGAATTACACTGACAACCACTTGCAGTGTAGTAATTTCAGATGTTTTCAATTTGTTGGTTCCTAAAAATTTGCTAGTGGAGGAGTATAGCTTGGGGCTTTCAGGTTTATGGCACATCTTTTAAGCTTCTGTTCCCTAGCGCACATGCCACAGAGCAGAGATGATAAATCAAGGGAGCAAGTGAGCTGCTAGAAGACTGTGACTTATTAAGGACATAATGGCAGCTACCTCATACCACTTTTTCCTGAACTAACTCCCTGTCACTCCTTTCCTATTTGTTACCTCCCTATCTTTCCCTTCACCTTTTCCTGTATTGGCTTGCTATAAAACTTGAATTGGCGTCTTCTGTAGCAAAGACCAATAATTTTGGTTGAGTAATCAATTAATTTTCAATTTAAAATACAAGGTTTAGCTTTTCAAAATCCATGCGGTACATTGTTCCACAGGGATAAGAGAAGAAAATATCTGTATTTATTGAATTAACATGCCTTACTTGTCATGTCATGTACCAATATTTGGCAAAATAGTATCACTGATGCATTAATATTTGTACACAGGTACCCAGTCCTCCTCCCTTTTCTTCTTCCTGTGTAGGGTCTTCAGCAATCTGTTAAAATAGGTGATCGGCTGATGAAAACCTCCAGTGTAAAGCAAAGCACAAATGATAGTCAGAAGGCATGTAGAAAACCAATCAAGGAATATCCCAGCTCATCACTGGGGGTTAGGGATTGAATGTTGCAGTAATAGTTTCCAGGAAAGCTGATTGTCATTGTAAACCCTTAACTTTCTAGTTCCTTAATTATAAATAAGCAGTGAAAAGAATACAGCTACAGCTATGTAAAGTCATTGCCCAGGAAATATACTTTTTTAATGCAAAAAGCCAGCATGCCCAAAGGGGTGGGTAGTTGTCCTGTCTGCCTCTGTTGAAGTCAGTGAAGCTGTGAATACACAGGTTGAGGGTTTGTCCGCTGTGCTGTCTGCTGTCTTTCCCGTGTGCTAAAGATCTGAACACAGTGCATCTCTTCAGTCCCTTTGGAAACTGTGCGAGTGGTGTGCGACAGAAGAGAAATGGTTGACTTTTTTCAAATATTGCTGCTCCCTGGTCTGCCATGTGTATTTGGAGGGTCCTTTCTGGGAAAGTGGTGCACAGATCTTACAAAAGGAGTCAAAGGAAATTAATGTTCATCTCACAGGCTGCAATCTAGCAGAGGATAAGCAGGAAGGGAAGCAATCACTGTGAGCCCTCTGCTCCCTGCCTCACGTGGAGACAAAATGGTGGGCAGCCAGGTGCAGGGAGGACATCAGTGCAACACAGCCCCAGATCTTCAAATTTACCTTGGAGCCTAACTTCTTGTTTTTCTAAGCGAGATGTTTCCTAAGGATGTTGGAGAGACCGAGACGCTGGTTCTTACTTGCCTCCAACATAACAGCAGCGCTCTAGTTTTTCATTTTGCACTTTCCTTTTGTGTGTATGTGTGAGAAAAGGAGGTTTAATCATATTTTCCATTCTTTCTAAAGCATTTTGAGAGCCTCAGGGAAAAGTGCTAGGTAGGAGCCATGCCATTACAGATAAGCTTCCACATTATACACAGCTAGAGATGACAAAAATAGCACACAACTGGGACCACAGCAAGGACTGGGGTAAGGAATGGTCAGGGAAAGATAGGGAAGTCCCTGGGGTTTAATGGCTGAGTAGGAAGAGATGTTGAGAGCACTGACCACCCACAGTAATTAACTCCCAAGAAATACACAAGGATCATTACAGATCTTGCAAGGTATAACAAAACAAGATGTAATTATTAAGTAGGATGATTCACTCTTAAAAATCATTAGTAATCATGCTATGAACTGTAATGATGAGCAGATATTAAGTATTAATTGCTATGTGATGGTTAATTAACATATCCTCAGGTTGTGATAGTCCTAATTAAAAAAAATTATATTCACTTCAGCAAGATTAATTCCAGGATAAGGTACTACTGAGTATGAGCAAAGGCATTAAAATTCTGCTTGCCAAAAGCACGTTAGTACTGGTCCTGGATGAATTCAATCAGTGGAAGCTGATGGTATTCATCTGAGAGAGCTTACCATAAAAATGCTTTTATAGGTGATCTGGTTTTGTAGCCTGCTGATAGTCTGATGATGCTGAAGGGAACAGAAGTGTTTCTGTTGTCTGTAACATGAGGGACTGGGGCCTTGAGGTTGGTGATTCAAAATGAATGAGCACTAGTTTATATATTGCCGTCCTCCAGAAACATCTTATCTCAACATTTATTTCTACTTGTAAAGCTCTTCTTACAAAGTTTGTAGGAACAACTATTTTTTTTCTAGTGTAGTTGATAGTGAGAACTTCAGTAAGGAAGCATCACCCCGTATAATGGAGGCTCAGTAGCCTGCCTTGGCTCTGCTCTGTAGTGTGACTCATACAGTCATACTTCTCCCTGCCTGAGCAGCAGCATTGCTTTAAAACCTGTCCTGGATAGTGAAAACTAAATGCATTTCACTACACAGGACTGAGCTATGACAAAACGTGAGCCACAAGACACAACTTCTGTCTGCAAACTTGACCAGAGCAGGACACTGTGAAGACTGGCTTTGAGTAATGTGATATTATCTCTATAGTGTAGTTTGGAAGTGCTGTAGTTTCATGTGTATCACTAAGAGGTTATTTTTGATGAAAAGCTCATAGTTTAGCAGCAGTGCAAGCTACCTGCACGCGGTGGTATGAGAGGAAGTTTATTCCTGGAAGCCCTTTGCCTATACCTCTCCTCCACCCCCTGAGCTCCTCAAACGCCAGTTTTTTTCTCTTGCTGCCCAGAGCTCTTCTGTGTCTGCTTTTGATAACATGACAATCATCCTAGCGTTGTATGAAGTCTGACTTTTAAGTACCCAAACTTTTGAATAGGTATTGTCTGAAATATGGGCTTTACAGCTGAAATATGGTGTAAAAAGCTCAGGATCAGATTGCTTTTGAACAGTCCGAGTCATGAGTTGGCAGTAGTGTCAGCTCTAGCTAGCTTGCCCAAAATTTCTCAGATTTGTGCTGTCATCTTGGTACCTGTTTCAACAATCTCCATCTGCATTACTTGCAAGCAGACAAACGTACCATTTGATTCCAGGTTTATAGTAACTTTATTAAAATTCAAAACATTCAATTATTAAAATTTATCAACTTTAGAAACATAAGACATTTACATATACATAGTTCTCTAGGGCAGGGAGTTCCCGTGAGTTTGTGAAATGCAGATTCCAGACATGGTTTGTTCTCACTTATTTAGAGAAAAGCAAAGGAAAAAGTAAAACAATTGTTTTGGGTTTGTCTCACATGAGGGTGAAATGGAAGCAACTTCACAAAAATCAGTGGGTAGGATAAGTCTTCCTCAGTACAAGGCTGAATAGAGTTACACTGAATTACTCCAGGTCATCCCTTGGAGAGAGTATCTTTACATCATCATGGACTGAGCTAATAGTGCACTGCAGTATATAAAAATAGAAAGCCCAAGGATCATCTTCTGAATATTGCACTGATCAGGTGATAGTCTGAAGCATGTGATTAGTTTACTTATATGTTATATATATGTGAGTAACCATTAAATTATATAGCACCTTCTCAAACCCAGCACTCAATGCAGAACATTCTGACCTCCATCAGGATGGAGGTCTATACTCATCCAGCTCTGTGGAAGCTCTTCTTCTTCCCTACTAGTATGTGAAACTATCTGCTATTTACCCTTAAATGCCATACTGGTCAGGACAGCAAGGATGAGAAGATATCTACATTCAGTTGTATGTAAATATTAGCAAGTATTTCAGAAAATAAACAGTGTAACAGAGTCCAGCTATAAAATGAAGAAGTCAGCAGACATTCAACTAGCGATGAACAGATTCTGGTGAGTTTGTGTTTGTTCAGAGATTTTATTGCCAATTGATAAATAGGAATTAAAACCAGATACTAAGGCTTTCTTCTCTGTTATGTGCAGCAGTGATGATGATTCCATTTAGTTGCCCTTAGATGCTTGCCTAGGGCAGAATTATCTGCCTTTGGTGATACGTTTTTGGTCTATCTTCTTCATAGCAGCCTGCACCCATTTGTGCTTGGGGCTTACGCAGATCTTGATACCTCTTGTGGTGATAAACCTATAGGAAGAAACAAACAAACCAGGCAGCCATTAAATTCCAGTCTCCAAACCCAGTTTTACTGTTCTTGGTTTTTATGCAGAACATGAGGAACAATGTGGTAAAATCGTATCACATGCCAGAGTTTGTAGTTGTTAGCTGGAATAATAGCAGTTAGCAACATTAGTTCCCTATTTATGGCATATGTATGTAACATACGTGGTCATGTGCATGTATACTGCTATTTAAAAAAAGGAGCATACCTGATATTCTGCGATTTTATATGAAATCATGATGCACACTTACCTCCCAGAAGCGGATCCCAGATTTGATAAATATGCATGCTCATGAGATCAAAAGACCAAACACAGCTCCTAGCAGGAGGCAGAGTTACCCCAAACTCTTCCCTGTGATCTTTCCCCTGGGCTTGACTCAGTGCCTCTGACAGTGTTTGGCTTCTGACTGCTCCACCCTGACCCTTCGCTGAGATTTTTTCCCCACTTTCTGGGCACAAAAGATCTGGCTGTTCAGTGAAATTTCTGCCAGCGTTTGTGAGCAGCATACATCTCCCAGCTCTCTGAGGCTCACCCCTATTCCCTCATTCCCTCAGCTGCCAGGTGACTGCTTCATGGATGAATTGGAAGGGTGACCTGAGCTAGCCAGATTTCCTGAGTTGGGCCATGAAATGTTCTCTGATGCTCCTTCCCTTTTGATGGTGGCATGTTTGGATAGATGAGTCTGAAGGTGAACTGTGCACTGAATACTTACATGATGGCTTCTACTGGAACTTGTTGCTTTTCATAGCTGACAAGCTTTCGGATGTTCAGTTGCTCTGTAGACAGGTTTACGCAACTGATTTTTTGCATGGACTGACTTGCAATGCCCCCTAGAAGGGGAAAGATAGATAAATGAGAAAGACAGTCAATACTATATATGTATTTAGCCATAATTACTTAATTATGAATTCCAGAAGATTCTCAGTTGTGGTTAGAACATGAGTGTCTCATGATGTACAGCCACAGTACCAGTTATACAAGAGAGCTTAAGGTATTTTTTGTGATATATTCTACAATCTCTAAAGTGTTATTGCTATTTCAGTTAAGATACTAATCTTCACCCGTTCTCCCGAACAATTGTATAATCATTCTGTCCCTAGGGAGTCACTGCTTCCATAGCAGAAAAGGTATTTGGCATCATTCATAATCGGGTCTGTATCATCTGCAAATAAGTGTCCATATGGAGTAGCACTTAGAACCGGTGTCTTTACTGGGTAGATTTCCAAATGCCATCTGAATGTAGATCAGTAATTCCCCCTACTTTCCAAGCGAAGGAAAGGAAAGCAAGGCTACTTGTCTCACGCTGGACATCCAAAACTAGCATTAAAAAAAATTGTTGAAAGAAAGGGAGATATATCTGCAAAAAGACTAAGTACTTGTACGCTCTTGCTGTAAGTCTGGTTTCATAGGCAATGGATTGCTACTTAATCCTCTCCTTCCTCCAACATTTTTATACATTTCAGGGAAATGCACTGGTGATTAATAAAGAGGATTGCAGTATCAGTGTAAAATTCTCTAGGCAGTTGTTACCTTACATGTCAATAACTAAAAACGGGAGCTCTTTTAAGTGAGATGGAGTATATGTATACATTACTGGAAGCCTCCGCTTGCTAGTTTCTGGTTTTCTCCCATCCATCAAAGGCAGGTTTGGGAAGGCATGAGGGGAACAAACAGAACACTGCTGTATTCTGAGGGTTTTTTTAAAGAATTTACAGAGAAACTGGCTTGAGAAAAGTCCAACAGCTGTTCAGGTACAACTTGCTAAATATAAAACCTGCTTCACGTAATCTCATTATCTGTGAGCTTTTCTTTGTTTGAAATAATTGGAATAGCTGAGGCAAAGACACATCAGCCTTTGGAGAAGCTGTAGCATAGCCAGCGCATGGGTACTGGCAGAGTTACTAATTCTTGAGATTTTGTTTGCCTGAAGGAATATTTCTTCTGATCTTGCTTTAGTCATGAGTAACGTGATGTATTTTTTGATGATTCATTACAAATATGTATCTTACTGCCTCACTCAGACTGGTTTTCAAAATGTGACATTGAAGAGCTCAAAGGTAGTTAAGCAATCCTTACTAGTCCTGGAAATATTCTGTCTACTGCTAAACTATCTCCAGGGAATGCATGCAGGGAATACCAGCAGAGCTCCTCTAAGCCTGGGAATGAAACCAAACTGCTCTGCATCTGTAACTACCCTTTTTTCCTGGTGGTTTTTTTTTTTTCTTTATCATTCTTCTTTTGAATCCTTTTTCTATCCCTTGCACAGCACCTCAGTGTGCTTTTTCAGACTTGGTGATATTTATGGCAAATTATAGAACCTGGAGAATGACATTACAAACTGGCAGTCTGTGGTATGAAGCCACATGTTGCCGAGATGAACAGCAGTAGCGTTAATCAACATATGAGAATGTAGTATGATCTAGCTCTAGGGGCACAAGGTCAATATACTCAGTGTGTAGCTACATAATCTTTGCAGGTCTCAGTTTGGTTTTGGTGTGGTTTTGTGAAGATGCCTTTTCTGTGTGTTTCTCTTTGCATATTTTTGTGGGTTTGCATATGGCTTGCATATGAGTGTTTTCTGTGATTATGTGCTTGTTTGCGTGAATCTGATTGTGTATAGAGATGGCATGTGCTTATGTGTGTATGTTCATGGCTGCACATGATACGCATAGCCTAATCCAAAAGTTACAGACCTAAACATCACTGTAGACAAACTTATTTAAAGCATGGCTAATAATCATGGCTCATCTCAGTGCTCATAAATGGTCTCAAACAAGAGGTTAAATTGTATGAAATCAAGAAGAGAGAGAAGACATTGTATAAATCCATTGCTGCTCCTTGCAGTTTTTGTTCATAGTATGCCTGTCTGTACCAAAATATTTGGCTAGAAACAAGCAAATAGGCAATATTTGATACAGAACTGGAAGAACTTTTTAAAATAGGGACATTAAAGGGATTGAGGATATATAGTTAAAGATGAATAAAAAATAATATAATAAAAATACACAAAAAAGTAGTATATCTGGAAAAAGAAAAAAGTACATCTTATTGAAGAAATATTATTCATTAAATGTTATTAACCTATAGAACTCATTGCTATATGGCATCAGTGATATTAAAAGACATTGTGTCTTCAAGATTTCATGATTTTAAGAGAGAGAATAATGCACAGAAACCTTTAAGTGCTCTAAGGCCCAGAATCTCTCCTTGCATTAAGGCAGAAGCCAACCAGGACATCAAATGAAATCTCCCATAAAGCTGCCTTTCTTGTAGTTCTGATCTGGATTTCTTGCAAGTTTTATCTTATGAATCAGCTCTGGCTGAGAATGAATCCTGCTCATCAGACCTCTGGTGCAATCTGGAGCAATTTCTGTCTTCCTCTTGGGTTGTAAACTTACCTTTCACTGTGTGCGCAGAGAAGACACCAAGCCAGAAGATGACGAGGATAGCTGCAACGTGGAGTTTCATTGTTGGTGGCTTCTTTGTCAAGGCAGAGAAGAACGTGGCTGTTGTCAGCCCTCTTTCACAGAGTTTATATATTGTCATTCAGTGGTCAGTTCTTGTGTTCACTTTGGGGGCGTCATGGGGGGGCTGACTATAAGTGGAAAAAATTGAGTGGCAGTACTTTTTCTGGTGACAGAGAACCACCTCCTTTCCCCCACCCGTCCTTCGCTAGCCCCCCTGCGAAGGCTTTTCCTGCTCAAACCCTGCTGTGGTCGCACTTGCTTCTGTGTTACGAGTAGGGTTTACTTCAAGCTGCAAAAAGTGAGAGCTCTTGTTCTGTAGTGGAAACCTTTAATGAATGTTCCTGTCCTTTCACACCTCGATTTAGAGAGCTGTAGCTAAGCTGTACCACAGACACACAGAGTAACATTCAGAGTTACCTCTTTGACCAATGGACCACTTAAAGGGGAACTGTGAGCTAAAGGATGATGGAAACAGGAACGCCTTGGCTTTTTCCATAGTGTCTGTAGATGGTCACTTTAATGCATAGGTTTGGAGGAGGATCACTCCTGTTTCCTATGTGCGGTGGAGCTTGTCAAAACTCTTCTGTTTTCTATGTGATTTGATATGGCCAAAGCTGCTATCACTATGTGCTGGGAGAAGGAAGAGTGAACGCACTTTTACATAGAGAGGCAAATCCACTAGTCCTCCTGCCAGCCAAGCATAACTAAAATTCAATGGTTTCAAAGAGGAATAAGAGTTTTTTGGGTTTTGTTTTTGTTGGGTCCCCCCCCCGTGGTGTGGTCTTTCTAGTATAAAGAATGGAGCCCAAGAAAGTAACCAGGCAATCATAGAGGCACAATTTATAGGAAAGTTCATTGCACTTCCATGTAAACATGGTGTTGATAACAGGTCTGTCAACTTGTTCTAATTGTACCTCTATCAAAAGTGTCCTTTTCTGCAGTCTCTGCTAGCCATATTACCCAGTTTTAGGTGTCCTTTCTATGTTGTGGTCTGAGTTACTGGACAGCATTGCTACATGCCAGGGGTTTTGCACCTGCAAATATTTTTCAAGCAAGGTGTGGACCTCCAGGCCATACACGAAGCAGCACCTGAGCTGGCATCATTGTCCAAAGCCTCTGAGCAGAAATCTCCTCTTTTGCTTTACACTCTGGAGCAGTTCTATGCCTGGTAGAAAAAGCTATGCTTTGCTAGGCCCACGAAGACCCAGCTGGGCCGGTGTGAATAGGTAAGCACCAGGCTGCTTGATGCCTCAGACTGAAAAGCAGTGGTGTAGAATAGCTGTCAGTGCAAAGCCTGGAGCAAGTGTCCATTCATGCAAATCTGGTTTCCTCAGCTCTTACTTCCAGGCCTCACCTCAGCTGGTTGCATTCAGTTTTCCACATTCTTGGTAACATCAATGTAAATTGCTTTGCATGGGGAAATGCAACATGTGGAAGTCAATTCCTCAAGATTCCTCAGGCAAATTAAGATTGAGCTAAGAACTGAGCTCAAATACATGACTCCTAGACTGTAATGGCTGGTCTGTAACCTCAGGAACAGTCTGTAGGTCTTGTGGGTAGAGAAGACGCTGCTTGGTTTACTTGTATATACACACACACGTTCTTTATTCCTTTTGGTTTGGTTCTTTCATCTTACATATACCATACAACCCAGGGAAAAGCAATGGCAAAAGTAGGCAGTAAGCAGGTGTAAGGTACTTGCTGCTTTACTTGAATGCCTGCTAAACCCACTTGCCACACTAACAAATTTGCAACAAAATGGAAGCTAAAGCTTCAACCAAAGCCCCTAAAGGACACACCTGATGCCACAGAGAGGAGTAACTGTACTGACCTCAGCAACACTACTGGGAAATCTATGTTGTGTCCAAGCAGTGTAGTAGCCTGGTGTTTTCTTGAACACTGCCTGAAATCACTCCTTAAATGAGATACTCTAACTTGTCAGCTTTGAGATGCAAGATAGCAACTTCATCACTGATGGCAGAGAGAAGTTTTCTCCCCATTAAGAGAGGCGATGCTCCCCCATTTCTGCTCACTGATAGGTATGTACATGTATGTATATACTCACTGTCTACAGCTCTGAGAGGAAGGGTCATCAGCTGTATTGAGCATAAGCCAGCTCAGAAAAACTCAATCCTTCCCACAAAAGCTTTGGCAGGTTGTAGATTCATCCCTGAGGTGTTAGAAAGCCTGTTGCTTCTTCAGTTTTCCACTATTCTTAATGTGGGATGGAAAAATTGCCCTGTGGCAAGTTTTTCCCCTCTTTTAGTTCTCATTTGCTGTGGCCTCCTGGGCTGTTTGTTCTGTATAGCTGGCTTATGTCCAGTGAAGTCTGTGTTTTGGAGGAGAGTTTTGTGGGCTGGAGTCTCACAGCTCTGTCTGGATATTTGGTGATCTCTGATGTTCTAATGTTGTATAAGGCTAATTTTGCATGTACTCTAACACCAGTGTGCGCTGCCTCTGTGCTGTGGCAAAAGCTTAGTGCAAGATGACCAGATGTAGAGTCTTCCTGTTTTCTTACTGGTAAGTCATATTGAAAACACAGCTAATAAGTGCCCTAAGTACTTTTCCTATTACTGCTTCTCCGCTCTGGATAAGTTGAATGCTAATGATACTTGTCCTGGGGCTTGACTGTGTCTTGTATGGCTCACTCATCACAGGCTGCTTTCGAAGCATTCTGGAGTAAAATGGTCATTTGCAGCTTGTGATACGTTCACAGGCAAAACGGATGCTATCATTATGGAGTTCTCTAACAATTTGTAAAGTCTGAATTGTGGATAAAGATGACTAGCTTTACCACGATGCTTTCCAAACCCTTGGCTGCAGGTACGATGTTGCGTGGGCCATGAGAGCTGCCACTCCTCCTCCCCTCCATGTCTCATGGTAACACATGCGCTTTTTGCTGAGAGAAAGCAGGTGCAGACAGTGGATATTGCAGGTATGGATGTGTAGGTGTATCAGTATTTAACCTTTGGAGCTTGCTCACATGCAGAAAACCACAAGCTTTGAGTTAGTCTCCCTAGGCTTCCTGTATGACGGGAGAGGCTGGGACACACAGCCCTGGGAGAGGACAGCAACAGCAAACTCCTGCTTGAGGAGTTCAAGGGCTCTCCCTTCAGCCCCCGTCCATGCAGAGCAGCCTGCCTCCATTTTCCCAATGCAGCGGCTGGGGCACAGGGTGGTGCAGGGACACATGAGGCTGCTCACGCACAGCAGGAGGCAAAGTCAGGGCCTGCTCTAGCACAGCTCCTAAGGAACTGCTGAATGCAATAGCTTTCTTAATTTTTAACAGGGCCCAGAAACTTTTACTGAAATGATTGTATATACCCTGTTTCATGTCAGCAAGCCTGCTGAAGAAATATGCAGTGAGCAGAGTAGTGGGCCTAATAGCTGAGTTTACTTACCAGGGTAAAGAGTCTGAAGTATTGCATCTTCTCATACTGTAGTTAGCTTCCAAAAAAGAGAGGTCAAGATCTTCACAAATAAGTAAATTCTTATGTAATCCTAGAAATGAGTGTCTTTAGTGAATGTTCAGCAGCCCCTTGAACTTGAAGATGTGCCAGCAGGTCACTATCACTTTTGAAGACTAAATCAGGGCATTCAGTGACTTCAAGAGGCAACCTAAGAACCTCAGTGTAAACACATCTGTGTATCAGACAACTTTTTGGGTGGGAGATGTCACCCTCCGGAGATACACATTTGTCTCTATTATCTACAGAAGCAACATATGCGTGTATCTTATGCCGGACACAGTAAGTGAGCGAAGTTAGGTGGGATAAATCTGACCTTAATGCATTTTGGTTTTGTATTGTTTCTTAACAGTTGGAGTACTGGTTCAAGAATTACCAGCAAGTGAGATCCAGCTCTGATATTTACATGACTTTCCTTCCCCCCTTCTTCCTCTGCTTTTCAACACTTTTGCTCTGTAGTTTTCATGCTGATTTCATAGGTACCTGAAATAGCAGTTTATGTTTGGTCTTTTTCATTCATATTGTAATGGAGTAGAAACAAAGACATGCTTGGCGCTCACCTCTCAGCTGATGGACAATTACTTCTAATCTAATTTGATCACTTAAATCACGTTTTTAATAACTAGTCTGTTTTGTGCTGATTTTGGCAGAACTTCTCCTTTAGAAATGTAACCCTATTAACAATACTTTTTCTTAATCATAATAGAGTTTTTGCTTGTAGACCATCTGTTTCCACTACCATACTGCCAGCTTTTCCCTGCCAGCTTTTCCCTGGTCCTACTAACATGCTCCTCTGTTGATGTATCATGTGCTCTCAAATGAGTTAGTTGTATCAAAATCAGTTGTCTGACTTGAAGCATTCAGGTACGTAAAATTAGACTGAGAATGATTTGGTTTGAAAGGGACCTTGAACCAAACATATAAAGGCTACTGTACACTCTATAGTCAACTCTACAGACAGCTGTATGCAGGCATGCACCTATTTTGCTGATGTTTTAAGCTGACTCGACATGAATATGACATTCTCCGTACAGCAGAGGTCTTTGGTCTTTCTTTCATTCAGTGTTGTTTTGTTTCGTTTTTTTTTTCAATAAGCAGTTATACAGCCACCCAAGTGTTTACAAGAGGAAGACTCTGATCCTCATCTCTATAATCTTAGTCTTGTGTGTTTTGGTTCTTTGTGAGATGCATACCAGGAAGCTAATTAAACACCGTGCAATGCTATTGCTGCAGAGAATTACAGAGGTGACTATAGCTCAATTCTGTGAAAGTATCTAAATATTGTACATGCTGAAACAAGAGCCAAATCCCTTTGGGAATTTGTGAAATATTCTCAGTCCACCCTATTGCTTTTTTCTTCCTTTTTTTTTGTTTTGTTTGTTATTTCTTTTTCTGCTTTCTCTTCCTCAGCTCTCATGTAAAACAGAGTGTGCAGATTTCATTTAGCACTTCTTCCTGTGCGTGCCCTATCTGTAGGATCAAGGATGTGGGAACCAAGTCTTATTCTGTTAGTCTTCAGGAGAAGAATCAAGCC